CGCCGCCGGCCTCCTCGTCGGACACGCGTCCTCTCGCCTGCCCTGGGGGAGTGCCGGACCCGTCTTCGAGCCTTCTGGGGCCAGATCACCTTGACCACGGGACCGCGCAGGGTCATCCCAGCTGGCGTGGTGCCCCGTGCGCCGCTCTCGTGGTGACTCGCTGGCCTCTGGCCTGGGAGAGAGCCAAGTCCCCGCCCCCCCACCCGCAGCAGTCTCCGGAGCCTTCTCGCTGCTCGCGCTCGTGACTGGGTCCTGGCGCGCTAGGTAGCGAGGGTGGCTGTTGCGAAGGCACTCGCGTCAAGGCCCACCAGGATGCCAGCGAGTACGTCGCGCTCGTGCCGAAAACGGCTGGGTCCCTTGTCTCGCGCCAGGGAGGTGTAGTGTTTCTGCCAGGCTGGTGAGGTGCTTCACCACACTGGCGGCCGCCCAGCGCTTACCGTCCCACTCAACGTGTGGCGGCAAGCCATCTGCTGGCAAGTCTGGACCATACATCCTGACCAGAAAGGGTACTAGGCTTTTTGCCGGCCGGGACGTTTCCTGGTCCTTCGGCTCGGGGATGTCACCGACTTGGGCCTCCACGTACTCCTGCCAGAGAGGTTCGACGTCAGGGTGAAAGCCGCGGAGGTAGGTAACGAGGGTGTGCTGCACTTCTCGGAGCTTGTTGGATTGACTGCGCTTCTGCACGTCGTCAGCTGCCAGGCGTAGGTCCACGACGCTCCTTGAGCTGAGTAAGGGAACGCTGGGCGGGGAGAGCTCAGGCAGGAGGGCGAGTAGGTCCGACACTGTCCTGATGGGCGCACTCCCGTCGCTACCGCCCACGGTCACTCTTCTGCCGTCCCGTGAGCCCCGAGCTGCTGGGTCCCCGGAGTCTTCGTCCTTGGCGGTGGCGTTGGTGCGCCTGGAGGGCAGCTGGTCCGCGACGTCCAGGGTACCTTGGTCCTTGATGCCCTGGTGTGGCCTCTTAGGTGGGTCCTCTGGGTAGACCTTCTGGGAGTCGAGGTCAAGGGTGCGGTCTAGGGTGCCTGGCGCGATGTCCCATATGTGAACGAGGCACCTCCTGCAGCACCACGTGGCGTTCCATTTTCGCTCTTGCCAGGCGGACAGCCACTGGTTCCACGGAAGGAGTCCAGAGCTGTCATCGGTATCAGTGCCAGGCTCGGGTCGCCACAGGAAGCAGCCAAGGGCGAGGCGCGTGACCCTCCACGCGAAGCGAGGGGCGTCCGGGGGGCACGTCGCGTCGCGCTTCGCGGGAGTGGGAGCGAGTCTTGTGAGCGTCTCCCCCGAACCTTCCGTCGTTGATCCTGTGGGCCGGCAGGGTCGAGTTCGCCAAAGTAGGGCAGTGCTGGTTCGCTGTGACCATCCCGGAGGTCCTTCACAGGGACAGGGTCGGCAGCGCACGGGCGATCCCCGTACCCGAGAGGGAGGTGCGCAAGCGAGGGGAGGGATACGACCCTCCTCTGCTCCCTGCCGTCTGCCAGGTCAGCGTTGTAGTCCTGGACCCGCTGCATCACGTCGGCACCCACTGGTGTGGGGTTCCCACGCATTTCGACGCTGGTGACCCAGCAGCCCTCACAGAGCCAAGCGAAGCGTTAGGAATTAGCTCCTGGGCCTTTCCTTCGCACCGTCCTGACAGGAGTCTTGGGCCGATCCCAGCTGCGGTGGCGAGGAATAGAAGAAGAAGGTGGAGGAGGAGGACAACGACGACGATGACGACGAGGAAGACGGGGGAGGATGCAGGAGGAGGAGGAAGAGGAGAAAAGCGGGACGACGACGACGACGACGAGGAGCAGGCTTAAGATTACGAAGATGAGGGACACGGAGAAGCTGGAGGAAGCGAGGGAGGCCCTCCCTCCGAAAAGACAGACGGGCAAGGCTTCTGCAAGCAGGCAGACGACCGAGCGTCCCTGCCTGACGTGACGGTCTCTCTCCTGGCCGCGGCCTCTGGGTCAGCCAGGGCTGCATCCTGGCGCGCCTGGGGAGCTCTCGACAAGGCGATTGTGCCGGATCGTGTGGGCGCCCAGCAGGAAAGGTCGGCGGAGCTATGTCATCTTCGCTGCGCTAGGGCCGCTAGGGTCGACACCAGCAGGGAACACGACGCTCTCGTCCAGATGCAGGGGCCCCCGACGGGCGACAGAGACTCGAGCTCCCCTCTCGCTTCTGCGGACGCAGCCGTCGCCGAAGATTTACTCCCGCGAGCATCTCCTGCGGCTCGGGAGTCTCCAGCAGATTCGTGAAACCTCGCAGCCTCCACGAAGACCACGAGAGACGCACACATCCACATCCATGGTCTCGCGGTCTGGACACCGAGCCGCAACCCCATGGATGCGCAACCCCATGGATAGAATTCCGCAGAGGGTATCCGCGAAAAGCTGCCCCTACATCCGTGGGGTCGCGGCAAGGAAGTCTGGACCGCGAAGCCGCGCACATTGAAAGTGATACGTGTGCTTCCTGACCACTAGGAGCGGCAGAGACGCGGCCACTGACTTGACTTTCCTGCCCACGAGGGGCGCACAAGGCGAAGGCGGCGCTGTAGCCTCAGGCGCGGGCAGCACGCACGTGGGCGCCCGATCGCCAGAGCTGCACGGTGAGGCGCCCTCCTGGCACGGCGGAGGCAAGGCCCGGGAGGGCCTGGCGCCCATCGCGCACCAGGTCGCTTGAGCCGCGGAGCGGATGGGAACACAAGCATAGCATGCAATCGTCCAAGTCCTGCCGCACCTGCCCCTTCCTCCTCCTCAGCCTCCTCCTCCTCATCCTCCTCCCTCTGTTCCCCACACTGCCGCTGTCTCTCAACATGCTCCTCACCACCAGCCTCTACATACATCGTCCTCAGCATCGTCATCATGATCGTCCTCATCACCCTGCTCATCTCCATGCCATCATCCTCGTCCTCTTCATCCTCCTTGCCTCCTCCTACTCCTCCTCATCCTCCAACTCGTCTTGCACATCGTCATGCTCATTCTCCTACTCCTCCTGCTGATGCTTGTCCTGCTCTTCATGCTTCTCCCAACTTCCTCCCCTTCCTCCTCGTTCTCCCTGTGACCTCATCGTCCTCCCCCTTCTCGCCGTCATTCTTCCTTCACCCGCCTCATCCTCCTCCCTGCCCTCCTCTCCCGAATCATCCTCATCCTCTTCATTACAATCCTCCCCTTGCTCTGCCTCCTGGTCCTCCCCTCCTCATCCTGTTCCTGCTCCCACTCCGTCTCCTCCGCCTCATGCTCAAACCCATCCCTCTCATCCCCCATCGTCCTCCTCCTCCTCATCATCATCCTCCACCTTATCCTCCTTCTTATCCTCCTCATCGTCATCCTTAGCCTCATCCTCGTCCTCCTGGTCACGGTCATGGTCATCGTCGCCGGCGCCCATCTCCTCCTGCTCTTCCTAGTCCTGCTGGTTCTCGATATTCTCCTCATGCTCCGCCTCGGGATCGTCCTCCTCCCCATCCTCCTCCTCCTCCTCCCTCCTCCTTCTCCCCCAGTTCACATTATGTTCACCCTGGTCCTCCTCACGAGTCTCATCATCACGCTTCTCATTCACCTCCTCCCTCTCTGATCATTCCCACTGTATTATATTCCCCCTCCTCTTCGCGACCATCATCCTCATCACTATGTGTGCTCTCGATGCGCAGGCTGCCCCGAGATGACTCTCCCTAAAGTCTCGGCATAAACATATCGGAGCAGCCTGGGAAGCAGCGCCACCCTGATGCAGGGGAGCGCGGCATAACGTTGCCTAATTGGTACGAGGGCTCTGCCTTGAAGCCCTCTTGGGCCATAAGGGAGTCCGCAGGTGGCAAAATGGAAGCTTTGTGGGCCTTTCCGAAACTGCTCTACCCGGTCTGGTCATGGCGTCGTCAAGGAGCTCTCTTCGGGCGGACTTCGGCCGACTCGGGGGGCTCTTGGGCCGTTTTGGGGTGGATTCTGCGGGGCGGTGAGGAAGTCTTGGGGTTCTCAGGAGCGTCAGGCCATCAGTGGGATGCAAAGCGGAAGGGGAACCGACGACAGCAACGACGAGGAAGCTGTCGAGAGGCCCAACCCCTTATGCAGCTGCGTGCAGGCAGAGGCGTGGCCATCTCCTCATCCACTGTGCGCCGCAGGGAGGGAGATGGGTCTCGGAGCAAGGCGAACAGGGGGCTACAGCGCAGGCGCGCAATACCAAATTGACAACCCGACGGCGCCTCCAACGACTTCGACGACGACACCGACGACGACGACGACGCCGACGACGACGATGACAAAGACGACGCCGACGATGACGACGCCGACGACGACGACGCCGACGACGACGACGCCGACGAGGCCGACGACGACGACAACGACGACGACGACGACGACGACGACGACGACGACGACGACGACGACGACGACGACGACGACGTCGCCAACGAACAGCACGGCCAGGGACCGTCGGAGACCCGGCCCGAACGAAGGCAGCTGGCGGCAGCGCAGGGCACCACCGGGGCCACGGGTGCGCAGCTGCCGCCGGAGCCCTGCGCCGGATCCCTGGGGACCGGTGGCTGCGGATCCCGTGCCGCCCTCGCGGACGGGCAGATCTCCAGATCCACACCCACCACTCCTCGAGAAATCCGCAGAGTCCTGGGACGCGGCTCCGAGGTGGTGGGCACTGGATGCACTCTGGCGGTGGACAGGGACACTGGGGACCAATACCAAACACATCACATTCCGTGCAGCGGAGCGAGAGCAGGCTAGGCAAGCTCTGCTAGAATATCCGAAGTTTGCTGGCCTGGCGATTAGCTTGGCCTGGAACGTTAGCTGGGCACGTCCAACTACGCTAGCCACGCTGCCAGGCTAGCCCACCGCGGCTTGCTTGTCTAGAATAACCCTATTTGTTTAGCCAAGATTGCAAGCATTACTTCGTTGTACTGCCCATGATAAACTTATTTGAGAACATCAACGCTGAACGAACTCAGATAAACGAGCAATATGCGATCGTCTATATACCTACAGCAAACCAGTGGAGTCACGTTCGGTATCGACTGCCTCGTTCGGTGCTGCCCCGCCAACACAGTGGCCAAGAAAAGCGTATGCCCTTGCAACATGTGCACACAATGGGCAAGAATCGCGAAGCACGGAATCCGACAAGCATGTGGTGAGTTGGCAATGGGCCACTCGCTCATCTACGAATACATTTTTGAGGTAGCATGTTTCACCTCTGGACCTCTCCTGCGAATGGCACGGGCAGCTCAAGCGAAGAGCTCGGGCATCTCTTCCATGGCCTTCTCATACAACCTTTGGGGGAAGAGGCGCAGCGGCGGTGCACAGATTGATCCTCCGAAGAAATCCCAGGGAGCTTGGACTGGCCCGAAGGTCGTTCCGGCAACCGCACTTTCGTGGGGAGCATTCTCCCTGGCCCTTCCTGGGGAATGCTCGTTGTCTGGAAGAAACGAAGAACGGATTCTTGAAAGACGCAAAACAACAGGACAAGTGATAAATATGGCTGTTTCCGTGAAACGGGAACTGCGCAAAACTCAATGTGATCGACCAAGTGCACACATTAGCAGCCGCCCGCACACGTATCAATTTCGATCTGGACCTGAATGAATATACTTACTTGGAAAGACGATAATGCGGATACCCAGTATATCCAAAAACGTGCCGTGCACTGGCTGGTTTTCCTCCCATCCACAAATTGAACCTCATATATTGCAGTCTCTGTTCGCAGCACATAGCTTGCATCCGAATCGGTGTATTACAGATCGTAGCTCACGTGCATTGCACAACATGCGCTGCACCATATAAGTTGCGACTCATTCATTGTACAACATTGGTTGCACACCGCACTTTGCATCAACCGTACGTATACGTAAATAAAAGGTTACGTGTACATGCAAATTTCAACATGAACGGCTAACACATATGCCATCACGGATCATACATATATATATATATATGCGGCCCGAGAGTTGCATCAATCTTTAAATGCACATCAGTCTTTGTAATCGATACCTTCGCCCTCCAGCTTATTAATAAACTCGACAACCACCACCTCTCCCCAAAAAAATGATCGATACCCTTCGGGGTACTGCACACTGATTACGATTCTGCCCATCGTTCATTTTCAATCCGTACCATTCCAGCGAGACCGGCAACGCCATGCGCACCAATCGCGCGCGCCGCCACGCGCGCATGCCGAAGTCTGCACAAAACCATCCATTGTCGAGCCAAATTTCAAAATAGAGCTTTCCAGAAGCATGCGAGAACCAACTGCGCCCTGAAAAACAATGTCCGGTGTCTCGAATGCACGGTGTTATTACTGCTGCGTTTTACCTGCCGCGCTGTTTTGCTTACTCACCCCGCGGCAACGCGAACGAGGAATCTCACCACACACGCATTCTTCCAACGAAAACCACACACGCATTCTTCCAACGAAAAAACGATGCCCTTCAAAAACGCAACACTAGTAGCCCGCTGCTCCCACTGCCACAGGACCCGCTCCACAAGCGCGGAGAAAAAGAACGGATCAACGCCCAGAACAGAGGGGGGAGAAGAAAGAGACAAAGACGCGATAAACTGCTTGAGCGGAACAGCAGCATTTAAAAATTGCACGCCCATTTGTTGTTCCCATCAAGAACGGCTGGGATCCTCAACCAGTGCAGCGTAAAGCCTCCCCTGCGCAACGACCTCTGAGCACTCCATGCCCCCGGACCCCGTTCTAAGCAGGGCACGGCAACACGCAGAAGTTCGAGCGACAACATTCGGTATCGCTCCGAACGTCACAGAGCAACACAAAGAAGTTCGAGCGACAACATTCGGTCTCGCTCACAACGTCTTAAAAAGAGCGACAAAACAAGGAAGTTAGAGGGCGGGACAGACAATTCAGGGGGAAGCTCCCATCTATCACTCGGAGTGCCTGGCACTCCCGAGGGTAGCGCCCCGTCGAACTGTGCAGGATGGAGGAGGAAGGAACGAGGAGGAGCCCCATAAACAAAGCCAGGATCAGAAGCAAACTCCAGCTATTTATCCTATTCCGACTCCTGCTCCGACTCCGGCTCCCGCCCTGACGCCGGTGCAGCGACTATAACCCAGATGGTAGCGGAGACCGACGGTCCGCCGACCGCCACACCACGACCACGGGAAACCCCGCCTCCAATGACCAGTACCACCAGGATTCCCATCCCCTCCCGCTACCACTAACGTCGTTTCCTCTCACCTATCCCTACGACTCTGGCTGGCGCCTTGACCTCACTCCTCCCACCCTCCCACGATCGCGGCCTTGGGAGGCGGAATTCAACGCATGACCCCTCTCAGGCCGTTGAGCTGACGGGGCCCCCTGGCCATACCAGCGCGCCAGCACCCGTCGCCAGACGCCCGGCAGCCTCCATCCTGGCCGGGAACGGCTAATACTTCAACATGTTATTTTACCCGCCGTTCGACCTGCGATGCCTTCCTCTCCATTTCCCCCCTCCTCTGGCTTTCAAAACTGCAAGCACAAAATTACCCGACAGCTCGAACCAGCGCAAGGCTGGGAGTCGCGGGGGCGAAACTAAAAGATAAGCCCTGCTCAACTGCACCAAGCGCCGCGGCCTCGGAGGGCGCGGAACGCGAGTGGGGCCCTCGAACAAAAAATGCAGTTGCAGCGAGCGCAACACCGCGCCCGCGCACGAGAGGAAGCGCCGCAAGCGAGACTACAACGTTTGCATGCAAAAACCGTCAGCGACGAAAACGAATGCGAAATGAATTCGAATTGCTCCAATACTACAACAGACAATACAATCCGGTGCTGGAGCGACTTTTCTGCCAAATAGCGACGGCGCCGCAACCAGAGGGGTGGGGCAAAAAATGGCGAAACAAAGACAACCCTTGGAACGCGTAGGAAGGACTGAGAACAAAAGGCGCGACGAATTGCACTACACCAGCATTCGATGACTGACCTGACGCGCATATGTTCGAAAACGGCATGGCGAGTCAAAGTATGGTGCCACCGCGACACGCCCGAAAAACCTCGCGCGTCTGCCATAACAACCTCGAGGTCAATATGAGACCCCAAACGCCGTGAAATCTCAAACAACTGCGTAGCGTCGAAATCGTTGCGCTCGCGCGACCCATTTCTACAGGGACCAGCATGATTAAATGTGCTGTTTTCATTTCAGTAAAAGCGCAATGTTTTAGTAGATGGCAATGACCATCGCGTCGCCTCGCGCTCGCGCGATCGCGCAGCAGCGCAAATACGAAGGTCTGCGCGAATCGACGGTCGCCCATCACGACCGCAATGGCTTTGCCGAACAGAAAAACCGGAGAAACCAATTAGTCTGAGCCCACGCTGGCATCGGCCCGCCTTCAAACGATACTCATGAGATTGCAGATTACTGCGCTTCGAAAATCGCCCACATTCCTCTCCTCAGCCTTTCAACCCAATCGCGACCGAAGCGTGGCATTTCAAAAAAAAACATACTGGAAATCGATGCGACGAATGAATATATCTGGTCATGAGTTAGGAATTCGTCGGTCGCTTCTTAGGCCCCCCCCCCTCCCCCCTCGCAAACTGCACAATGAATGCATCGGGCCGCCCGCGCGCTTGCAAACAATGACAGACCGACATGCCCACCCTGAATTGCCGCGCGAATGCTTGGGAACAATAGCTTCTGGGAAGAGCGCGTCGCTGGTTCGTCTTTCCCCGCTCAAAGACGGCTTTTACCAGCGTCAAAACGACTCGGTTCGACCGCTGCCTCGCGACATCACGCCACCAGAAATCCCAGCGGAGGCATGTCATGGGCTAGGAGGACCCACGGGGCAAAACAGACAGATGGAAACGAATACGAGGAGTCGAAGCCACAGGGATAAAGAGGACGGCTGCGAAGAACAGGCCCCCCTCCTTTTGGAACAGTAGCCAATGTTTTCGCGGTTGCCTTTTCCAGGCTGGCCCCCGCGAGCTCTGAAGCGCACCTTGCGCCTTCTGCGGGCGCTGCGCCCGGGGGCGGAGATTTTCGCTCGACGCAGCCTCTGCAGACAGACCCTATCGCACCACCAAACATGCACAAAGTACGCACGATACGAGAACGAAGCCAAAACTCGACCCTGAGCGACACGTCGGCAGAGGAAAAATAATGAGCAGGGTGGAGATATAAAAAGATGCAGCAAAACGCCCCGATGCTGGCCGCGCGAAACGACGAGCACTTGAAACAATCTCTTGGAACCATGGGGAGGGAGACAGGAGAGGAGGAAGAGAATAGAAGGGGGCAAGAGGCGCAACAACAAACGACAAACGACTGGGAGAAAGAGGAAAAGGAAGCGAACGGGGAGGACAAAGCCACAGCGCGGCAGCGCGCGACGCGCCCACTCAGGACCCCACGCCAGGCGGGCCGGGAAGGGAGGAGACGGGAAGAAGGGAGGAGGGGGCGCGGCGGACGACGGACGAACGACGACGACGGCGGGACCCAACAGGAGCGGAAGAGAGAAAGAAGAAGAAGGGCGAGCGATAACGGAGAGAGGATCCAAGAGAGGGGAGAGGAACAGCGAGAAGAAAACGTCATATAAGCGGCGACACAACAGAAGGCGGCGTGCCGGGGCGGCTGCCACTAACGGCGGGCGCGGAGCGGTTGAAGGCAAGCGGAAGACGAAACGAGAAGGAGAACGGCCAATAGTCGCACTGACGCGCACAGTCGCGGAGCAAGCATTGCAGTCGAGACTGAATGCCACGCAATGCGCCAAATTAAAATATAATTCCCTAGCTCCTTGGAGAGCTGAGAGGGCTGTCAGATAAGAAGCTGGCAGGCAGGGCTACGCCACGCCAGCTTCTCTACAAGGCACTTGGGCAGGCATCCCCGGAGCGACTTGCTTGACCCTCCAGCGTATTCTGGCCAGAGTTTTCCCGACTCGTTCACAATACGCGCGCCTCAAGCCTTGCCGCAGCTCCTCCGCTGCCCTCTCGACGAAGCTCGGGTTTCGAAGCTTGCAAGCTCCACAGGCATGCTTTCCACCGTCCTGGCAAGCGCATCCCAGGGGCGTTTCGGACGCTTACAAGCTCCCCAGGCGTTCAGCAACCTTACAAACGTTTTCTACAAGTCTTTCGCGCGATTTCAGCTGCGCTGCTATCTAGATTTTGGACTACACAAGTAAGGCACTGAGATCGAGATCCACACACACTGAATGACCATCTAAAATAACAAGGGAAACCAACTATCCCGTCATAAAACCGAAAAAAATGCACCAACATCCACTCGGCCGAAAGAAAAACACCAAAAACATATAGAACAAATATATTCACATGTGAAAACACATCTATTTCTGAA